AAATATCTTTAGATGGTGGGAGAGCAGAGCGTAGGACTGTTTTGGAATAAGTTGAGAGAGAAAAACCTCGTCATTGTGCTTCCTGTCTGGCCTCACGTAGAGTGAGGCCAGACAGGAAGTTTAAACTTGAGGACTGCTACCTCATATTCAAACTTATAGGCAGGGCAGCTCCTAAAAATCACATTATGGGAGTCTCCACAATTGGCACATGTGCATGACTGAGCAGGGTAATTTGAACGGTCATGACCAGGTTAGGGACACAGAGGGCAGCGGGCTGTGGAGCGACAATGTTTGGCTGGGTGGCCAAACCGCCAACATTTTTGACATTGAAGAGGAAGGGGTTGATATTATCGGACATGATAAGACAATCCACCAATATAAACCACATGGGGGAGTTCTTGTCTATGGAAGCTAATCTTGGCAATATTGACATGGGATTTATGTTGGCCTCTAGGAGGAAGAGTGTAACACTGTACTGCCACTGCATCATATTCATCAAGGCAAGAAAGTAGGTCATTTTCACAGTCTGAGAGGATGAGGACGAGAGGAAAATGGGGTGGTGTGAAGTGGAGTAGTTCTGCAGGGGGTAGGACAATAAGGATGAAGAGTAGTAATAAGGGAAGAGGGGGTTGACATTGAAGAGGGTTGTGCAGTATGGAATGAAGAGGAGAATGTTGAGGATGAGGAAAAGGTATTAGGGGTTGAATAATAACCTGGGTGGGTGTTTCAGAATGGTTAGAGTTATTTGTAAGCGTCAAAGAAGGGGTATCAGAATCAGTGGTCGGAGCCGTGGTCAAAGGAGGCGCAGGGGTCGGAAAACCATCAAAATCAAATTCAGATAGGCTATTTGATGAAGGAGCAAGCCTTAATGCCTCTATTAAGGATAAATAATCTTCATTACTGGCCATGGTGAGCCTGAATAAACTGAGGAAAAGAAATGGTCTACCCCTTAGGGTCCCCATATGGGGTAAGGGCTAAGTAATTAACCAAGGGAATACCGTGCCCATGGCTCCTGGAGCCCTTTCGTGACTAACACAAAGCCAGTCTTTCATCTTTTCAGCACGGCTCTCACACCTTAGGAATGGAATAGAAGGGAATAAAGAAGATATGGAAGAGGAAAGAAGAGAAGAAAAGACCAAGCAAAATTAGGTGAGGCAAGGGCTGAGGCCCAAGGTAGGGGTAATCCTCTACATTGGGTCCAGTCCCCATCTCCTAAGCCCTCCCATGACGGCAACGAGCTAGGTTTTAGGAGGGATTGCCATGTATAGTGGTTCCCTCTAATTATGATGCTCACCTGTCATTCACTAAGGAAGAGTTTATCTTTCACTCACCTAAGCGTTCTTATTTCTATTATAGTCTTCTATGAAACATCATATCAAAAGGCTTTTTAAACCGCTGTGTTTCTAACGTCACATGACATTTTACCAATATGTTTTTTCCACTAATTATTTGCCTTGCAAGGGCAGCAATTAGTTTCCTAGTTGTCTCTGGCATGTTAACCTTGAAGGTGCGCTAATTCTGGGAACTCTCCTGCCGCTAGAGCTGTCTTTATTGTCATGCCAGGTAGACTCCACAGATTGCTTGATATACCCATATATATATATATTCACGTGAAGATGATGAATATATTGATGATGAGGGGGACTCTGATAGTGATGACCCCCTATAAGATAGTGATAAAAATAGGGATTACGTATTTGGTGAAGCTTATTCTGAGAATGAGGAAAGCAGTGATGATTAGCATGAGAGGCCTTCTGCCACCACCTTGCCTTTATATTATTTGTATGATTTTGTTTTGAAAATGAGTTTATTCAGTTTATGTATATAGTTTTATGGATTAAACTAATGGTTGCATGGAAAATATGCTGGAAGACAGCGTATAAAGTGCATTAGAAGCGAAGGGAGAAGATGTGGCAGCAGTGGGGTTGGGGAAGTCTCCGTCTGACAAAATACAGGGATTTAAAAATGATGTGCTGATCCTTTTAAAGGTTTTCATTGTGTTTCTTGGTTGGGTTGGGGTTGTTTTGACTATGAATAAAAAAGAAAAAAAGAAAAAGACATAAAGAAAAAAAAAAAAAAGAAGAATGCTGACGGGGGAGCATAGCCGCATCCACCCTTTGCTTGTACCTGCGAGGGTCCCTCATGGCAAGCCGCCAGGCAGGGACTTTGCCCATCTCAAGCTCCTCACGACAGGTTTGATCAATCTGCCCAAGTCAAGACTCCAAGGCACAAGATAGTGTCCAGGTTTCCCTACTGTATAGCAAAACTGGCAGTATCAGGGCCTTGAAGACATGTAGCTTGGTCCTTCTGCACAGGTACCGGAATCTCCAAATACTCTTGTCGAGAGAGTTCATGACCCCTGCTGCCAGACCAATCTGTCTGCTGACTTCCTGGTCTGACAGCACAGTGTTATGAACTACACTACCAGGGTATGTAAAACTCTCTGTGACTTCAATGTCCTCGCCGCAAGCACGTACCAACTGAACAGGTTCTCCTAGCAAGTCCCCAAAGTCCTGGATCTTGGTCTTGGTCCAGGAGACCTCTAGACCCAAGGGCTTCGCTTCATTACAAAATTCATCGAGAGCCACCACTAAGGATTCCAAAAACTCAGATAGAATAGCAACATCATCAGCAAAGTCAAGGTCGGTAACCTTGATATTGCCCAGAGTTGCTCCACAGTGACTTTGAACAGTAGCTCTGCACAGTATCCAGTCCATACAAGTGTTGAAAAGTGTTGGTGCAAGAACACAGCCTTGCCTCACTCCTGAACTATCGGGAAAGAAGCTTGACAGGCCCCCACCACACTTTACAGCACTTTTACCATTATACAGATTTGCTATTAGTCCAATAATCCTTGTTGGAATTCCTCTCAGTCTCAAGATCTCCCAGAATGATTCCCAATACACCATATTGAACGCCTTCTTGAGGTCGATGTAGGCTACAAGCAGCCCATGCCCGAACTCACGACGGAGCTCTATGATGACTCGAAGCGCAAGGATGTGTTCTATTGTGGACTTGCCAGGAGTGAATCCAGATTGATCCGGCCTCTGATGCCTCAGTAGGTGGTCTCTGATAGGTCTCAGAAGGATGTGGGCAAGAACCTTGCCTGGTATACTGAACAGTGTAATGCCTCGGTGGTTGGTGCAGTCCCATCAGTCCCCCTTCCCCTTCCAGAGAGGGGGTACCCTATATGTAAACTAATGTAACAATGTGTGTGTATGTGAGTGTATGTGTGAGTGTATGTGTGTGTGTGTGTGTGTGTGTGTGTGTGTGTGTGTGTGTGTGTGTGTGTGTGTGTGTGTGTGTGTGTGTGTGTGTGTGTGTGTGTGTGTGTATACATAAAATAGATCATCTAAAATATACTTATAAAAAATAAAATGATATATAAAATGAGTAAATGAAACATATGGTTTCAGTTATGTGTCATGTGACCAAATATGTTTTCACATAGTCCAGGGATGTGATTTTTATATATTCCATACATGATAGCTATGGGACTAAATATCTTACACAAAAAAAATCAACCTTTTATAGCAGGTGTTGTGAGTGGCTTCAGTTCAGTTTATTAACTTCTAGGCACAACCTTGACTGGACCTACATCTAGCTAAGGATTAACCATCAAGGTAGGATATTGCTGATGTGGCATCATTGTGATAACCATTGTTACCGATCCTGGCAATATGCTAAGACAGTCCTAGACAACTTCCCAACTGAAGCCAGGAAGATGGACATTTATATAAAAATAATAATCATTAATATTTACCACTCAAATGCAACACATATTATTTTTAAAGATTTTTCTTAATGGGACTTTAATACATGTTAATCTGTACAATATATAATAGAAAAATGGTAGCTTACTGAAATTGACAGAATCTTTACGGTATGGATGCACTAAGTTAGGGCAAATTGAATGTGATGTTCTTGTAGAGAACAAAAAGTTGCAGTAGTCTGAACAAGAAATAATCTGCAGACATGAATGGTAATGCCACAAATAAAGGAAAAAGATTGCAGAAAGCACCACTCTTAGCCTAAGTCCACTTGGTGCTCCTGAGTTTCAGCTCTGTCTTGCTGTGCATACAAGGTGAAGATGATGTTTCCCAGAGGGGTGTTAGGGGGCAGTGCCATCCATCAACTCTCCCCTTGGGTTCTGGCACACCCAGTCACTGAACTTAGAATGGAGTTGGGGACTGAGTCTCTGGCGAGTATGTCCATACTATAAATAATTACCATATTGTCCTAACAACTCTATTCACTCCATGATTACAAATAATAGCGAAGAATAAAATTATCTATTCATGAAATTGGTGCCTGTTGATGCAAGGTTAATCATTCTAAACAATTTACAATAATACATTCTTACTAATCCTGTGTCACAAATCTAATTCTGTAAGTACTCTCTGAATTATACTAACACTAGCACTTTCAGAAATAGGTTATGAAACTAAAACCTGACTATTGTGCCACAAATAACTACAATCTAACAAAATCATATATTCTCAAAATGCAATTATCAACATCGATTTGGCACCGTTCATTTACATGCAGTTGTGCTGTGAAACCTAGACTGAAAGCATTAACGCTTTGGAAATACAATAATCATTTGCATGTTTTAGCAATTATTTAGATTTAAAAGAACATGACATATAACAAACTTTGTGACAAGCCTTAAGGAGAATAAGTGGTTATCAATGTTTGTACATCACATATAAATGATTCTTCATTAACGGTGCTCTGTGCTTTTTACAATGGCATGTAACAAGCTACTGTAAAAATTTACTATAAAAACTTCCACCTTGTTTCCTCTATTTTAGGCTCTTATTGCAATTGACAGCATGGGCTTCAAAAATATGTCTATCCCAGCGCATTTAGAAATGGGATTTTGATGACAAAAAGTGAGAAATGCATTCCCAAATAACAAAAATTGACCTTGTTTCAGAGGTGTGCCATTCTCCCACTAGTCAGCTGATAAGACCAAAACAAATACCTCCGAAACTGTT